CATAGAGGAAGCGTTTACACTCCAGAGCAGAAGGTGGCGGTACTGCGACCAAAGCCAACCACCAGTAGTAAACAAGAAGAAGAAGAAGTGAAGCAGCGTAGCCGGGTGTAGCAGGAAAAAAATCAGTTGTTGTGGAGAATTGTGTGGGTATGGCGAGTGGGAAAGAACAGGAGTTGGAAGACGCAACAGCAGCACTTTATAGGTCTGCTGTATGGGAGCGCTTTGCATTTAGAGTGACCTACGATGACGGCGGAAAGAAAGTTGTGGATAAAAGTGCAACAGTGTGCAAGCATTGTGCAACATGTTTTGTTTATGCTAACAGCAACATGTCATGCTAACCCCGAAATCCCTCATACTCCGTCAGCGCTCCGCTCCGCCCCGCGGCGCTCCAGACCGGCTGCTCAAAGCAAAGCCTACAGCCCCCACTGTGGCTCCCGTCCGCTCCCCTCTGAGTTCCTTGGAGATGGTAGAGAGCATGCGCGAGATAATTAAATTCAAAGCAGCAAAACATACGGAAATGATCCAGGGTTTCTGTGGATCATTTAAAATAATTACAATCCATTGTTTTTTGGGGGATTTTTTTTTCATTTCATTTTTTCATTAATTTCATATTCACATTTATGGGATTTCGGTGTAACAATCAACATGTATCGAATCGAACCGAAAACCGTAACCAGAAACCGTGAATCGAACCGAACCGTGGATTTTGTGAACCGTTCCACCCCTAATATATATATATATATATATATATGTATGTATATATATATGCCCCCAATTAGAGCCCGATTAATCTACATTGAGCCTGGTTCTCCATGAGGTTTCTTTCAGTTAAAAGGGAGTTTTTCCTCTCCACTGTCGCTATAAGCATGCTTGGTGTGAGGGATTGCTGAAGAGTCAATAAGTCGATGCAATCAGCTGGTTTTCCTTAGACAGAAAACTTGAACCAATGTGACCATCTGATGGTTGACTTATGTCTGTAAAATGCCTTGAAATAATATGTGACGCTATATAAAATGAAACATCAATCCACCCCCACAACATGATAAAGGAGAGAAAATGGTTGTTTAATTAAAGGGATTTATCATCTAAACCCCTTCAGATGACCCTCATCTGAAGGGGTTTAGATGATAAATTCTAACTACAGATTTTAGATACATTACATGCAATAAAACACATATCAAATTAAAAAAACAAAACGAAGAATGCATCAGTGTATTGGAGAAAGATAATACTAACAGCTGTTTCTTGGTTTTCTAAAACCTGTTCGTTTAATGGCCATCTGTATTTATTCTGCTCTGATTAGATTCTTCTCTTCCTTCTGACCTCTTCCTTTTTTTATATTCTTGATAAATGTTACCTAATAACGATTAAAATTTGATTTTATCAGTCACGCTTTAGTTGGGAAGCTTCTAGTTTTAAAGCTCTACAAACATCAGTCCCGATTTACTTTGACATGATCCGATATGTGGGCGTTTTTGACATCTCTGCAGTAATTTTTATCAGCTTAGATCAAGGCATTGTCCTTTTGAATCAATGTTTATTCTGTAGCAATAAGGCTGTTTTTCCACTGTTAATCCTTTATAGGGCCCTCAGTGAAATACTTTGAAACTCAAAATTTCAAGCCAATAGTGTTATTGGATTCAAGGACAAGACCTTACACTGCAAAAATGATCTACAAATGAGTAAAAATGTCCCAAATGAAGGGTATTTATCATTAATTTGAGTAGGTTGATAAGATAATTTGCCAAAGGAATAAGATTTTTACTCTTAAAATAAGAAAATTACTTGAAATAAGACAAAGCATTTAAAGCATGTAAATTGTCTTGTTCTATTATCAAAGTGTCTCACTTTCCCCCTCAACTGATTAGATTCTTCTCTTCCGTCTGACCTCTTCTTTTTTTATATATATATTCTTGATAAATGTTACCTAAAAACTATTAAAATTTGATTTAAATTAAATAAAAAAAGTTTAAAAAAAAGAACTGGTACTGATGGTTTTAGCGATGCTACGTCATTCTAGACTTATTTTACTTTAAAACAGAATAGCAAAAACAACAAAACTTTATTTTGTTTGAGTTCTAAGCATTATATTTAGAAAATCTTCCCAGGCTGCTTATAAAGTGTTATAATAAAGGGAGTTTTTCCTCTCCACTGTCGCTACAAGCATGCTTAGTGTGAGGGATTGCATCCGAGTCAATGAGTCGATGCAATCAACTAGTTTTCTTTAAATAGAAAACTTTGAATCAATTTGACTAGATGATCTGGTTGAACTGTAAACTGCCTTGAGAAGACATTTGTTGTGAATTGGTGCTATAGAAATAAACTGAAATGAATTATAATAACAAAGTATTACCCGTGCAAAGTCCTTGAACACAGGTGCCAGGTGGAGGACCAGGAGGTAATGCACAAAGGCTGTTCCATAGTCCTGGTTGAGCAGACACTGCTGAGCGCTTTCCAGGGAGCTGGACACCAGCTGCTCTCTGCCAGGGTCCCCTCTCCGCCTCCTCCGGGCCCTCCTCCCATGCTTGGGCTTTGCGTTGGTATTTGGCATCCCTACCAGAAGAACAAAACCAATGATATAAGATTTCAGCTCATGGAACCTGCTTCATTAATACATAATAGTGACAACAATGTTTATTATAATAACAATAAAGCACTAACATGTTTATTTCATTTTCTTGTTTAACTGACTATATATAAACTGATCTTTTGAGCACTGATCTGTTATAATGGTTCATTCAGTTTCAGTTCAGTTTGCAAAGGGAATTTAATACTATGAAATCTCATATACAAACTCCTTTCATTAATATCATAGCACTTCCGGTTGTTTTTTCTAATACTCTGGTTCTAGAAACACTTACTGCGAGCAGAGTTTGGCTCCAGGCTGCTGTGTCTGAGAAACCTGCAGCCAGAAGCAGTTGATGTATTGATGCTAGCAGCAACCAAACCCCAGCATGGCGTCCATCAGCAGTTAGCCTCACTGGGAACCAAAACAGCCCCGAAAACCAGCAGATATGAAGCCGCTGCTCCGGTTCTCACTGCGGCATCTCACTTCCCGGCTGCGAATACGGGAGAGGTTTGATAAAAACCGGGCTGGTTCTATTTGTAATGAATCACATTCACGTATATCCAGCTGAGCGGCGACTCAGTCCGCGGTAAAAGTAGCACGGAAGGAAGCATGTCCCAGACTAAAACGTTCCGCGCGCTCACTGGCAGACACGGGGATTTACTTTGAAGCAGAATATAGTCGCTACTAAAAGTGTATTTTTCTAAGGAAACGTATAATTTCTATCCGTGGATAAATTATTAAATATAGCTATGAAAAACTCTTGGTGTATCTGTTTGTCTTTGACGACATTGAGACCTCTAGTTGGAATGAGACCTCTAGTTGGAAAGAATCAAAGAGTTCAACTGATCAAGATGGTTACATTTTTTCCATGCATTTACATTGTTAATAACACAGAAATTATGAAACCAACAAATAGAGACACCTTTTAAACATTTATTTAAACCCGAGTATAATTAAAAATATAAAAATAAATGCATATGAAACATGAAATATACCGGTTAAATATCCCAGCTGCAGAAGTGAAAAACTGTTCTACCAGTTTTAGTTCTGGTTGGCCAATTGGAGAGCAGTTATACTGTTAAATTATTTGTTGGTTTAAATATTAGATATCCGAGGTTAATCTGAAAAACCACTACTAAGTTTTGTAGCCTAAAAAATGCAAAGCCTAAATGTGCTTGACTTAATCCCTTTCTTCGTTTTTTTACTATGATAATTAAACCTAATCTGGAAGTTTAATCAAATGAAGTCAAACTACTTGACTCTCCTGGTCAACATTAAGGTGTGTATTTCTAACCTGTTCTTTGAGTGAGTAAATAAAAGAATATGGTGATAAATTAGAGCCATAAAACTTATGGTTTTGAAACTGAAATATCAACTGAAAGAAGCTGAAAGAATTTTTGAAACTGAAAAAAAAAAAGAAATGATTAAAAAAAAAAAATTGTCAAAACCATAAAGTTATCCACTGAAAATTTGTATCATGTGCTGACACAAACAGCTTAGATCAGTGAAGCAGGATATTATTAAAAAACAGTCCCATTAATATAGAATATCAACCGTGTTTTAAAGACGTTTTTATTTCCTACATTGCCTGAATGCAACAGCAGGGAATAAACTGCCACCTAGGGGGCTCCGTAGAGGGGACAGAAGTAAAAAAAAAAAGAAAAATATTTTTAAACCTCTGTTGCCAGTTTCAAATCTTTTATTTTCAGTTTCTAAATAATGCAGTTTGAAATGAGTGTTTTCTGTTTAAAATGCTTTTGAATAAACTTTATGAACCCAATTTAGCTCCATAATATGGAGCTAAAGGAATGACAAAAAACTAAAACGTGAAACACTGAATGGTCAGGAGACGGACCGAAGGTGTTGTGTGATTGCACTATCACTGACTTAGAGAGACTCTTTGAAAGTAGCCACGCTTCATTTATCAATCCGCCAGCAAGGCGCCGTACCTGAGGGCGGAGTTTACTATTATTTTAAAATAAGTCAAACTGAGTAGATGCCCACATCGATCACGTGATTCATATAAACAGTCATTCTGTACACGCGCACAAACACACAACGATTTTATCAGAGGTAAGTTAAGATTCAGATTAATTTTCCAGTACCTTTCTGTTCTTAAATTTTGATATTCATTTCTTAAATTCAGTTTTGTCCCTATGATCACATTTACTTCAAAACATTTCAGATAAAAGAAAAAAAAATCATTAATATTAGTTAAATGTAATATTCAGTATTCGTGTCAGTAAAATGATATATGTATTGGTATTAACGGTAAAAACAAAATAAATGAAATACATTTAATAACATTTGGGGTTTGCTGACCAATCTTTTCTACATGATAATGGTGCCAGTGCGGCTCTAAAAAACGTTTTAGTAGCTTAACTCCTCCCTCGCTAATCCCCGACTCAACCACCGGCTGGCCGTGAAGAGGCGCGCCTCTTAACTTTTCTCCTCTCTCAGATGTCAGACTTTCTTAATCTGTCACTTTAGGTGGAGTTCCTTTAATGGAAAAAGGGAAAAGTGGACACCGCTCCTGTTCTGTTGGGGAGTTTTATTAACTCTTGTCTGATTAATTCGTGACTGAAAAGGCGCCTCTTTTCTCCTCTTTTTGAGCCGATAGCTGCAGGAGGATTAATGTGACAGCGGTGGAGAGGAGCACCACCCATGCAGCCGCGTCAGGAGCTACAATGCTAAAAAAATGTTAGCTTCTGCTGCTACCTGTGGGAACTATGGTCCATCATTCTGAGCTGAAAGCTCCGGCCCACAGAGCGGCGGTGTGAGTGGAACTGTCTCTGGTGTCGCTCCCACGGCGTGGAAGCAGCTTTCGGTCGGTTTTCCCTTCCCGTGTGGCGTGGACGCCCAGCCGTGTCCCAGCAATGGGGCTCCAGGCGCTGGAGTTCAGTGAGTGCTATCTGGACAGCCCCAACTTCAGGGAGAAAATCAAGGCTCAGGAAGCGGAGCTGGACAAAACCAACAGGTTCATCAAAGAGCTCTACAAGGACGGAAAGAACCTCATCAATGCCACCAAACGTAGGTTTACAGTCACGCTTTAGTTGGGAAGCTTCTAGTTTTAAAGCTCTACAAACATCAGTCCCGATTTACTTTGACATGATCCAGTATGTGGGCGTTTTGGACATCTTTGCGCTCATTTTTAATCAGATTAGATCAAGGCGTTGTCCTTTTGAGTCAATATTTATTCTGTAGCAATAAGGCTGTTTGTCCACCGTTAATCCTTTATAAGAAATAAATACTTTGAAAATCAAAAATTCAAACGACAAGAGCTTACTCTGCCAAAATGATCTAGAAATAAGTAAAAATATCCCAAATTAAGTGTATTTATCATTAATTTGAGTAGGTTGATAAGATGATTATGCCAAAAGAATAAGATTTTCGCTCTAAAATGAGACAGTTACTTGAAATAAGAAAAAGCAATTTTTCCCCTTATTTTAAATGTGAATTTTCTTGTTCCATTGCAAAGTGTCTCACTTTCATCCTCATTTCAAGAGAAAATGCACTTATTTGAAGAAAAAAGTGCTTATTTGTTAAATTTACATTTTTCTTGCAGTAACATTAAAAATTATGGATATTTTGATGGTAAAAATTAATGTCAATGTAGTAACAAGAAGCGCCAACTTGCCCAAATATATTAAGAAAATTAACGGAAATGCTTCTATAAGAAATTCATGAAAAACACTCAGAGTGAAAGAAAATTTTTTTTTGTGTACAGCATAACCTTAGAGGCATTTATGGAAGAGGATTAAGGCCACTGGAAAAAAAAAACGTTAACTGAGTTTTACATTTTATTTCAGTATAATATGGGAAAATACGAAAGAGGATTAGGGCAAATAAAAAAAAGAAGAGTTAACAGATTTTTAAATATAAGCACAATTTTTTCCTATATTATATGGGGAAAAGGTGAGAATTCTGAGATTAAAGTGAGAATTCTGAGATTAATTCTGAGATAAAAGTCAGATTTCTGAGATTAAAGTAAGAATTCTGAGATTAAAGGGAGAATTCTGAGATAAAAGTGAGATTTCTGAGTCTAAAGTAAGAATTCTGAGATTAAAGGGAGAATTCAGAGATTAAAGGGAGAATTCAGAGATTAAAGGGAGAATTCAGAGATTAAAGTTAGAATTCAGAGATTAAAGGGAGAATTCAGAGATTAAAGGGAGAATTCAGAGATTAAAGGGAGAATTCTGAGATTAATTCTGAGATAAAAGTAAGAATTCTGAGATAAAAGTGAGAATTCTGAGATTAAAGTGAGAATTCTGAGATTAATTCTGAGATAAAAGTCAGATTTCTGAGATTAAAGTAAGAATTCTGAGATTAAAGGGAGAATTCTGAGATAAAAGTGAGATTTCTGAGTCTAAAGTAAGAATTCTGAGATTAAAGGGAGAATTCAGAGATTAAAGGGAGAATTCAGAGATTAAAGGGAGAATTCAGAGATTAAAGTTAGAATTCAGAGATTAAAGGGAGAATTCAGAGATTAAAGGGAGAATACAGAGATTAAAGGGAGAATTCTGAGATTAAAGGGAGAATTCAGAGATTAAAGTTAGAATTCAGAGATTAAAGGGAGAATTCAGAGATTAAAGGGAGAATACAGAGATTAAAGGGAGAATTCTGAGATTAATTCTGAGATAAAAGTAAGAATTCTGAGATTAAAGTGAGAATTCTGAGATTAAAGTGAGAATTCAGAGATTAAAGGGAGAATTCAGAGATTAAAGGGAGAATTCAGAGATTAAAGGGAGAATTCAGAGATTAAAGGGAGAATTCAGAGATTAAAGGGAGAATTCAGAGATTAAAGGGAGAATTCAGAGATTAAAGGGAGAATTCAGAGATTAAAGTTAGAATTCAGAGATTAAAGGGAGAATTCAGAGATTAAAGGGAGAATACAGAGATTAAAGGGAGAATTCTGAGATTAAAGGGAGAATTCAGAGATTAAAGTTAGAATTCAGAGATTAAAGGGAGAATTCAGAGATTAAAGGGAGAATACAGAGATTAAAGGGAGAATTCTGAGATTAATTCTGAGATAAAAGTAAGAATTCTGAGATTAAAGTGAGAATTCTGAGATTAAAGTGAGAATTCTGAGATTAAAGGGAGAATTCAGAGATTAAAGGGAGAATTCAGAGATTAAAGGGAGAATTCAGAGATTAAAGTTAGAATTCAGAGATTAAAGGGAGAATTCAGAGATTAAAGGGAGAATACAGAGATTAAAGGGAGAATTCTGAGATTAATTCTGAGATAAAAGTAAGAATTCTGAGATTAAAGTGAGAATTCTGAGATTAAAGTGAGAATTCTGAGATTTTTCAGTGGCCCTAATCCTCTTCCGTAGGCATGAATGCTGAAACTGGCAGTTAGATATTTTAGTTTATAACCCTAAATATAATTGCTAACTACGCTTAATTAACTTCTTTAAAGGGTTAAAGACACCATTTATTATGCAATGATCTGTTTTATCTTATTTAAACTAATCCTCCCCTAATTTAACAAGAATGACTGATCTGGTTGAATAGTTCTAGGATGGTCAGAATTCATCTTAAAGCAGATTTTTCTTTAATGATCCTATTAACTTTAGATGTCATGGTGTTTTTTTCTGCTGCTTAGTCAATGTTTAATTTAGAAATAGAAAACTCATAATGATTATAGAACTACATGGCTGAAGGTGGCAGCACGTTAAAGTAGCTCTGATGGCTTGATTGATGTCTGTTTATTAAAGACCTTCAGTTCTTCTGTTTAGGTTAAAAGCAGCTGGGGGGGATTTTTTAAATTTTCTTTTTTTACCCCTGGTGTTGCGGAGCTGAGCAGCTGAAAAAATCTTTGCCAATATATATATATATATATATATATATATATATATATATATTTTTTTTTTTTTGGGGGGGAAATTTGTTATGATGTGTAACCATAGCAATGGTCTACTTTTTTTTCTCCCACTGTGGAGCAGCTCATTAACATCTAAAAACCTGGAATAATCCTTCAAATGCTTTCATGAGTTCCCAGTCGAGTTGAAAAGAGGGTGCTGGTGATGCAGAGCGAGAGCAAGGAGAGGAGAGAGGAGGAGGACATTCAAGCCATCTCTTCCATCAGTCATGATGGGAAATGAGGACGATGTCATAAAGATGAAGTCTTCATAAAATGAAGAACATTATGTATAACCATGAGCATCCGCTTTAGAAGGTGGTTAAACGACCACAGAGTATATTTAGTCAGAGGTTATAGAAGATCCTTAATGCCTTTAGCTATTAACATACAACACAGAATACCACTCTGGGCCTCTGAGCAAGAACATTATCCCCCGATTCCTTTGCAGATTTTCTTACCCCCCCCGAGAAGGTAATTATGTGCTGGAGCAGAAATGTATGTGAAAGTTCCGTACAGATGCTTTTAGTCAAAAACCTAAAGAAAAGAGCCTTTATTCTGTTCTGTAGTGGCGAATATGGACATAAATCGATCAAACTTTGCCTCAGAATCATACGCTTGTACCCCGTCCAACTGAAAAGCAGCACCACAGATCAGAAAATATATTAACAATCAATTAAAAATGACTAATTATGGGCGTTCTCAGCTCTGCTGCTGCAGCAGGATCCTCTTTGGTATGATCAGCCTGTCTTTTTGTTTTAAAACTTCACTCTATGCTTTTCAGTGAGTCTGTAAAACGCATTAATTATGTTTTATTATTTTTTATTCACTATCAAGGACAGCATGCAATTATAAAGGGAAAGATAAACAAAGGTGTTTGCAAACTCAAAACTCAAGCACTTTTTTTTCCATGATGCAGCTAAAGCGGACGTCCAGCAGCATATTTAGGGCTGTTAAAATGTGGGGACACATTTTTTGTTCAGTAGTTTAATCAAATTCATGACGGCATGGAAAAGCGGATCTTGGTGTGGATGGAGATCTCCTTATGTCGTATAGAAGATTTCAGTAGTGAGACAATTCAAAGGGATGTACATTGGGAAAAACAGATATACAGGGCAATGGCATAAAGGAAATGTAAATACTTGGAGGAAAGAAATGACTAAATGAGGTTATGTAAAGCAAAAGATAAAAAGAAAGTTGGACTGAAAGCTTAGTTAATAAACTTTAGTCAAAGGCCACTTTAAACGAATGGGTTTATAATTTCAACTCAAAGCAACTGATGTTTTCAGAACTTTTGCAGTTTTCTGGGAGTTTATTCCAGATCAGTGGAGAACAACAACTAAAAGCTGCTTCTCCATGTTTGGTTTTAGTTCTGATCTGTAGACCTGAGTGGTCTGGCTGTTGATCTCCTGCCAACCAGTCTGTAATGTATTTTGGAGTGAAGACACTCAGTGATTTCTAGACTAAAAGTCTATTCTCTGAGATAAGCGGAGCCAGTGGAAGGACTTTAGAACCGGGCTGATGTTCTCTACTTTTATATTTCTAGTGAGGATGCAGGCAGCAGCATTCTGGATCCGCTGCAGCTGCTGATCCACTTTTAGGCAGACCTGTGAGGACACCAGTAAAGGGATAAATTCTACTAAAGAGGATGAAGCAGAAATTCAGTTTTCAACATTAGTCCTTAAAGGGGAACACTGTTTTTTTTACATTGGGTCCTTGATTTTACGTTATTACATCATGTTCTACTCACCCATATGAGTTTTGTGTCATTTGGAGCCGTTCTGAAGATATTCGGTTTTGTTATTCGTACGGGCAACGAGTTGAAGGCACAAGCTAAACTGTTCATAATTTATTCTTTATGGTACGCCAGCATTCATAACATGTAGGTGAATCACTGTTCCCAGGACATCCATTGCTCACCATCGCTTCTTCGGTTGATGATCCATTGATCCTCCTGTTGTAACTTGATTAGGAAATGTTCAGCTGCTCTTTCTGCATCATCCTCTCCTCCAATAATAGCTGCTGTTTCAACCTCCCTGCATTCTCCAATGACAGCGTATGTATTTCTTATGTCACATCCCTAACATTTCAGATGGATTTGTTGATCCTTCAGCTGTGTTTAGAGTACTGAAAGCCTGTAAGCACTGACCTGTCATCCAGGATCTGTTTAA